CCCCAACTCTGGATGTAGACGTAGTATATCCTGGATATATGGACTTCAGAGGAAGTCATATTTCTGTCAATGTCCCATATGCTTTCAGCAATGGTGTTTCCGTTCATCTCCAAGGGTTCAACGTACTACAATGTTAAGGAACAACACTTTATTCTTTCTCCTCTCTCTCTCTCTCTCTCTCTCTCTCTTTCTCTATCTCTCTCTCTCTCTCTCCCTCTCTCTCTCTCTCTCTCTCTCATTACTCTCTGCTATTGAATTATATTTTGTAGCAGACAGTCAATCGAAATATTCAAATATGATAAGACAGAACTTTCTCACATTTTTCTTTACTTACTTTAACCTGGTTTTGAAGAAATTTTCAAAATATATTGAAAACTTTGTATTGCTGTGATTAATCATAAAGCAAAAACAACAAGGCCTTTCTTTACTGCTTTCCATTTCAAGAAGAATTATAAAAATATAGGTTTTTTCTGTCTCATTCAATTATCTTTATGTAAAGTGAAGTGGATAAATGAAGGCAGACAAGAAATTTGTTCTACTGGAAATTAGATACTTGCATTGCTAAAAAAAATTGTCACCTTGATTAGACTTCTATAAAAAAAAAAATTACATAGCTTTTTTGTTATGATTTCAAAATCCATGGCTTTGTTTTGGCTGTATCTGTTTATATGGAAGGAAGATGATTCATTGTCCCTTTATTTTTGAAAAAATGCATTATTTTTTTGAGTAGATTAATGTCGCAGTTCGTCTTGGAATCAACGGGACTGACTGCAAAGAATAATTTGCGCTACAGTGTCTGACATGGTCCATATTATACTTACGGTCAGTCGAAGAAAGTAAATAATCAGCTGGTTTCATTCATTGCAGCACTCTCAATACGTTGAAGATGAAATATGTTACTCTTTATCTCTAACTTTGTTTTGGATATTATTTGTTGTATTGCATGAGAGTCTGTATTGCTTGTGTTTTATTTTACTTAGCCGTTATTACATGGTGCTTTCTGATCAATCCAAAACATTCCCAATTAGTGTGGACTTCAAGACCAATCTCTGCAAGTTGATGTTTCATTTGGACGCGTTTTGTGTCCCCCTATTTTAATCAAATGAAAAGTAATGCATTCTATCGATTACTTTATGAATAGTTTTATTATTTTATTTGGCACAAAGACAAAATGAAGAAAACACTGAATACATAGACATCAGTAAAGTTTGAAGTGAGTCGCTTGGATGCTGGGGGGAAAAAGATGAACTGACTTACTATAACCAGAAGGCTTTATTTTCCAATCCATGTGACTTTACATAAAAGAATAGCACATCAAACTTTGTTTACATATTCTCTTTGAAATTATTAATATAATTATAATTGAATACATGGGAGAAAAAAGGACAGTGGTAGTGTTCTGAAGGGGAAAAAACCTTAATATATAAAGTTTCCGCTTCTCATCTCAACTGTTGTGCTGGAATGGGATCCTTTCTTTTTCTCTGCCAAACAGTTTCTCCCATCTTCAGAATACATCTTGTGTTAATTAGATCATGAAATTTCATTTTGGTCTTACGCAACTTATGCAATTCTTTTGAAATGATTATATTGACAATCAGACAAATGGCTGTTTTCATTCGGAATATTTAGAACGATTTTAGCTCAAGAATAAACAATGGTAATTCAATTGTGGAATTTAACATATGACCAATATTTGCAATGTTAACTTATATTGCGTTACTTGAATTCTTTATTTTCACAGTCTCAAATAAGAATAACAGACTAGGAACGGCCTTAAGATTTATATGATGGTCTCATGAACTTATTTATTATGAATGATTTTGGAAAACAAACCATATTCAATTTGCAAAATAATATATTTATGAGATTATGATGGACATGAGTAAAATTGAGAAATCTTATTCAAGTGTTATCATATTTTTGTACAAGAAAGTAATTTATGAGATTTACAGAACTAGGTATCTGCTAATGGTGAAATTACCAATATAAATGCTGAAGACAAATTTTATGATGCGTTTTCATATTGTGATGGAAATGTAAGGGGAAGACATGTGTCTAATCACTCTGAACTAGGCAAAGGTTTTGCGTACACATTTGTGCTGTTTATCTCAGTTATGTCCAAAACCAATAAATCTCAATGAAAATTGGTTGGTTGTGAAATTCACAGACAATTTATCCTCGTGGTTTGTATTCAGGAAAGGGTAGTAGCTCAAGTCCCAGGGGCCGTAATCAATTCAGAAGGCAGATTAAGCAAGTATTTTACTTAGCATTTGGCTTGGCTAAGTAAAATGTCTTAATCTTATTCAGATTATATCTAAGCTTTTTACTTTTGCAAGCCGACTTTTAGGCAAAATACTCACTGATAAGCATTGTGACATGGTCGATGAAAAAGTGGCTAAGTGTATACATTTGGTTCTTTAGATTTATAGAGTGCCAAAAGTTCACCTTATCTCATAAACCATAATTCTGTAGCTAAATCCCAGTTACACCGCCAGAATGACAACAAAAAGACCAGGTCATAGATTACTTGTAGGATATTCTTTAAGGTACAACGTCGTCCTAAGAACTGAATAAAGAAAGGATTTTTTTTTGGCACCAGTGTCTTGTAATATTTGTTCATTCAAAAAGAAAATCAAAATTATCGATAGGTTCCAAAGATATGTAGAGTTGCGCTGTATGTTAAATCAACATGCATTTTCTTGTAAATTGATTGTATAAAGAAAAAAACTGTAAAAAGGAGAGTTAAAAGTGTACAAATTGGGATTTATTTATATCCTATTTGTGATCAAGTTAGATATATGTGCTATTGATAGACAGTTGATTTTTATCATCGGGCCAAGTGTGGGTATTTATTGGGAAAGCACAATGATTTTTTAAAAACTTGTTGATTCGATTACTTGTTCTGTAAATAGCCAGGTTGTACATAAAGACAAAGGTTTTTGTAGTACTTCCAAGTAAATACTTTTGTTCCCTTTTTTTCACTGTCTGTAATTAAACTTGTTCTAAAGAAGGTCATTTTGTTGGTAGTTGGACTGAAAAGAAAGATTCAGTTGAAATGTTATTAAAAGCATGTTATTTACGTGTTACTAAATCAAAGTGTCATTGAGTCATATTTTGTATTTGGGTGGTGTATGAAGGATGGTATGACCACGGGCTCTGGTGACAAATTTCTATCCTTAACCAAGTTCCTAACTTCAACCCTTGATCCAGCATTATATCAAATTACCCTAACCTAACTCTGAATTTATCCTTAACCCAAATCACAGCCCTGATGCTAACCCTATATTTTTGACAAATTAAAGCCCTGAGCATAATCTATGCATGGTCACCTAGTGAAATGCTGGTATTAGAGTCAAATACTTTATTACATGTATTCACTTACTATGTCTACCGGGTATCCGTCTTTCTTTTTCTTTCTCTTTCCATGAATTTCTATACCTACATGTATGTACATTTATCTGTTGCTTTCTCTTTTTCTCCCTCTCTCATTTCTATTCTTTATCTCTCTCCCTTTATCTCCATTCTTTCTTGATAAATTGATTTGATTATCATTTTCCATGTAAATCAAATTTCCTCATGAATACAAAAAATATAAATACAAACTAATAATCGGCTCGATTCTAGTTTGAACGATGACTACCTTTATTACATCACATCATAATTAAACAAATTTTAAAGCGATTACAAGGCTGTACATTTTTTTTCTTTTAAACGACAAGATATTTTCATTAGCGAAACTGTTGGAAACTGATAGAAAGATGTACAAAAGATGACGGGTTAAATGAATGTACAGCCAGAAATATTGAGGTTGTTCAACCGTATCCGGACACCGACTACCCCATGGACATTCACCCTGGATTACCACCCCCAGCCAACTACCCCCTAGGGCAACCACCCTCTAGGACGACTACCCCCAGGACAACTATTCCCTGGACAACTACCCCCGGACAACTACCCCCTAGGATAGTTGTCCAGGAGGTAGTCGTCCTAGAGGATGGTTGTCGAAGGGGGTAGTTGTCCCGGTGGTAGTCGTCCTAGAGGATGGTTGCCCTAGGGGGTAGTTGGCTGGGTGTGGTTATCTGGGGTGGATGTCCAGGGAAGAAGGTGTCCTAGAACCTTGTTCAACACATACCCGACCACAATTGTGCCCCAAGGTCAATATCCTACGCTAACTGAATTCTTAACTTAATTGGGTCAGATTAAACTCTAAACCTAATCCTAAACCTAACCGAAACCCAGTTGCAACCCTAACCGAAACCCAGTTGCAACCCTAACCTTAAACCCAACCCTCTACTTTTGATGGAGAAAAAAAACCGGGAGCAAAAAGTTTTTGTAATATGTAATCAAGACTTAATGCACAAACATTTGTTAAGTGTATGTTACAAATTATTTCATTTACCTGTTACGAATAATTGTATTTCAATAGTGAGAATTGCAAAGCGAATAGGCCATTTTCGTAAAGTAACCAAATTTAATGCATAGGTCTTTGTGAAGTGCCTCAATACAAATTATTTCATTCACCTGATAGAAATAATTGTATTTCAATAGTCAGAATGCAACTGCATATATTAAAAGTTGCTAGGTAGGTCAAGCCATAATGTTTGTCCAACCTGGCAACAACTAATGTATGCAGTTAGGGTTCTGTCTATTGAAATACTATTATTCGTATCAGGTGAATGAAATAGTTTGTATTGAGGCACTTCACAAAGACCTATTGCATTAAATTTGGTTTCATTACGAAAATGGCCTATTGCAAACATTAGTTGATGCTAGGTAGGGCAAACACTATGGTCAGTCCTACCTAACAACACGGAATGTATTCTATTCACTTTCTGATGATAAAACTACAATTATTCATAACAAGTGAATGAAATAATTTGTAACGAGGGACATAACAAAGATTTGTGCATTAAATTTGGTTACATTACGAAATGAGAGAGAGAGGGGGGAGAGAGAGAGAGAGAAAGAGAGAGAAAGAGAGAAAGAGAGAGAGAGAGAAAGAGAGAGAGAGAGAAAGAGAGAGAGAGAGAGAGAGAGAGAGAGAACAACAACAAGACGTTTGACACAAACAAACTATGTACAGGATGTAAATGTACAACACATATTGAGTAATCACCACGACAAAAACAAAAGTCCTAACAGAGAAGGAGTATGCTATAGCTAGGTTTGCTCGACATCTGTGCTATCAAGTATCAACACACAGATAGTAAATTTCAGCATAATATACATACAAATACATAGCGAGTTTTTCTATTATCTCATGTCAAACAGGTAAAGACGTAATGTATTATTTGTTGTTAACATAATTTTCTTGATAATTATGATCATAACTGAGCGAGTCCAGTTGTTGGGTTATTATGATAAACTAAATTTAACCCTCTTCTATCAATAGAATGAAGGATTTCAGAGCTGATGTTGGATACATTGCATCTGAAGGAGGGAATAATTATTTAGATTTAAAAATGTATGTATGGTTTGTTTTGACCTGGATTAAGCATATTTGAGTTACTAAATAAAGTTGGAGGGTATTTTTGTATAACTTCCAGAGCAAAATACAAATTTCAATAACCTTGTGTATCACTGATTGAAATACAGTCATGTGCGAACGTGACAATGGCATATTCCGAGTATAATTTTTATTGACAATACAAATTGCTTTCTTTGTGACGGCATAGGCGTCATAATGAAACCTACAATCAAGAACGTTGCTATAACATGGTGACAATGCTGATTACTATGGCGGAAAATAACACGTCCAGGCGCTAGCTCCGTAATCCCTCATCTGTTGAAATAGGTAAGTTTTACCTATTCATTTCAAAGTGTGTTTTTGTACTACGTCGTTTTGTGAACTATTGCAGAGAAACGCAATCGAGTCCATCGACGGCCTTCCCTCAGAATCCGCACCGGTAAACGTCGCGACCGTTGATGCTTTGCGCAGGTCTGAAGTTGTTCTGCAGCAGTATGGGTGTCTCAGTACGGTAAACATAGGCGTGGCGGGTTGTCTCAAAAACACCACGCAATGCAGACATCTGGAAGAAGAGGGGAAAACAAAGATGTGAGGGATGAGACTAGAGACAGAGATAACAAGGGGTTATTTTTGTAATTAAATACGGGAAGGGGGCACAGGAGCAGTTGTCAATTCCCTCCCTCCCATCAGATGACCCGCGCGCGAAAAGAAACAAATTGTATGAACTTTCCTATAGCTAGCTCCCTCCTAATTTCTAACAACAGAGAGAGGGAGGAGAGAAAAGAGACAGATATAATATATCTATGGCCTAGAGAGAAATTGATAGAGAGATGGGGAGAGAGTCAGAAACACAGAAATAGGTAGTCCGAAAGAGAAATATAGAAAATCCTCGATCCGCCCCTGATTCGTTATCGGTTCAGCAATTATACCCTTTGTCAAATGGAGCTCGCGGATTAAAATCAACCATTTTTGTTGTTGCCCGATTAACACATTTCATCGTCATAGCGATCATAAAATTCATTTAACTTTGAATTGTCATCATTTTAGAGCGCGCCCTCTCTTACCTGTTCCCGAGATATTGTGATTGGTTGTTTTAAGACTGTCCACGTGACTACCTCATAGCATGGGGGCGTGGTTAAGGAGCCGATGTAACGGTAGAACTGGCTTCGATTCTTAGGGAATAGCTCGGTGAGTCGAATAGGTTCGGTCACAAGTTGTGATTCGTCTTAAGTTTTGTGAAAAAAAGATTAATACAAATGATGTTTAAATAATGAACCGACTACACATTATTGTAAGATGTCTGGCATTTAAGCCATTTCATGTATAGCTAATAGCGAATGAGCCTAAAACGATAAATGTATATGAAATAAGTAAAAGCAATAAAGTCTTATTTTACATTTGAGGAAGTAAAGTTGTGTTTTTTTTTGCCGAAGAAAATATTGAATGGTGATGGTCAAACATTCCCTTAAAGGTTCTATGTCCCTTTTGCAGCCCACCTCAAATTCTGTAGAACTTTGCAGGAATTATGAATATGTCATGTTTGTCCTATCTGTGAAATTTAAACTCAAGACTATTATTTATTGGCTCTATAGCTCCTAAGTTGATTTGACAACTAATAGTCGTTATTTTCCCACTTGAAGACATTTCCAAGCCCCACCTTTCTTAAGGGTAGTTCTAAATTAGTATTATCTTTCAAATGCCGTTGGAATTTAACCTTTTCATTTTTTTGGCCTGCAAAAGGGACATAGTACCTATAACTTATGACTGTAACAATGATACCATCAAATTTGTTTAAATCGTTCAAATCGGTCTAAATGTGTAAAAAGAATAACATATACAAAATATACTTTACCTTTAAATTTGATTTCTTTTAAGTGTTTCACTAGTTTTTCAAAAGCATCGTTCTTCTCACCGATCTTCGAGGGAAAACAATACAAAATGAAGTAATTACAGAATGATTTCCGATGGCGACGTGATCGATGCATTCAAAATTGTTAAGGATTAAAAAGCAGGTGGGTTAATGATTTCATAACAAGATAACAGTCAAACAGATCGAACGAAATTTTGACAACTATTGAGAAATTTAGAACTTTTTGGATACATGAATCATGGAAAACTATTAAAAACTGTTAAAGAAATCACCACTGTCGGTACTGACCTCGATGAAGACACCGATTGCTGCTACCCCGCCTGGTGTGTGAAAGATACTATCTCCTATTAACGACTGCTCGTGGTGAACAATATGCATCTATTCAAAACGAAAGTCAAAATAGTGAAGGAATATTAATCAAAATACATCCAACACATGTTTACAGACAAATATTATCAAAGGAATAATAATTATATACATTTTCGAAGCGGGTGGATAGCATCTGAAAAAAAAACTTCTTTAAAAGACAAAATAAATTTGCCAAGGTCGACATTCTCATTGAATAACGTTGTTGTGGATCTGTATAATTATTGATAGCTGTAGAATACATATCATAATAATAATTCATGTAACGCCTTTTTCACTGGATACAAAGTAATTGCTTTCGAAATGATCTTATCCGACCAGGCATGCGAGTTTACCTCTGCGGGATATTTTCTGCGGTCCAGGACATGTTCGGATCCCTGCTCGTTGGAGAAACCCCAGTGGAAGTGCACTTGGTCAGCTACATAGGTGCCCCCAAGTCCTCCTCCACGGATCGTATAGTTGCCCTCCAACATAAGCTCCACTTGAGAAAGAGATTAAAATTGTAATTTCTTTAATAATCACTCTTTAAATGGAAATACATTTTATGAATTTATCATTTGATTATTTTTATGTTTGTTATTGTTAATTACAACTGTATATCACCATCTGAAATGAAATTAAATTCATTGATTTGATTGCTGATGCTGTTACAGTGGCGGATCCAAAAAGGGTCATCCAGTAATAAAATCTAAATAAATAAGAGTTTGATGTGCCTTTCTCATAAGAGAAACAAAACATCAACATTATATTCATCATTTTTATCATTAGCATCACCATCATCACAATGATAAGTACGATAAATATTTATGATCATGACTACCACTAATTAGATGATGATTACCAACATTAGCATTGCTAAAGAAATTTAAAGAATTTAAGCAGAAATAAATCATTCATTCATTGCCATCAGTTTCATAATCATCACAATCACCGTAATCATTACCGTCGTCATCAACATCACCATCATTATCGTCATCATCATCATAACCATCATCATCGTCATCATCACCATCACCATCAGCATCAACTTAATAACATTCGTCGCCATAATACTTATCATCATCATCACCACCATCATCATCACCATCACCAACATCGTTATTATCATCATCACCAATATCGTTATTATCATCATCACCACCATAAACATCACAAGAAATAAATTATTATTCATTGCCATCATCTTCATAATCATCACAATCACCGTTATCATTACCGTCATCATCAACATCACCGTCATCATTATAACCATCATCGTCGCCATCATCATCACCATCAGCATGAACATAATAACATTCGTCGCCATAGTCCTTATCAACATCACCACCATTATCAATATCATCATCCACCACCGTCCCTTCATCAGCTTCATGGATCGCATCACTGCCAACAATTAACCCACCTGTAGTTCCGAGGTTCGTGAGAGTCATCCTTTTTCCGTCGGTATCGCCGTACCCATTTAGCTCCAGAGGGGCCCACTCTTTCCTCTTTGTGTTGATGGTCTGTATAGCGATGGGGGACTGCATCGACCCGGCACACTGGTAGGGGAACATCTGCCCCCATTTGTGGGGACCTGGGGTGATATCCAATTGCCAATTTGATTAATATCTAAGTCACTCGATATTTGCTCCTAAAAATGTTACTTATTTTCCAATCCGTTATTAAAATGAAGCGTAGAATATCAAATTGTGACCTTTGCTCTTATCATTGAAACGTTCAAATAATTCAATGGATGATAAAGTAGGGTCTTTTTCTTCCATAAAGAAAAATCTCACTGTCAACGAGATTTGACAGTATCCGAGATTTAGCTACGAGAGGATGTGGATGAATCTTGCATCTTGGCTCATTAGCATACAGACTTATCGTCTGACTGTAAATGACTATGTGACTCACACTAACAGACGGAGGCTGAGGCCTTTCATCATAATATTTGGCAGCCTATATTACTGGCCTCATTTTCTTTCCTCAATAGCAAGTACTAAGTTGTAATCAAAGGAGAGTCAACAGACCTTATGCAGTCTTGTATAATGAGACGTTTTAACCTGTTTTCAAAATATATCTATCCATTGAAAAATTGAGAGTGATATTTCCTAAATGTTTTTATTATTTTTAAAGCGTTAGAAATATCTGGGTTGTAGTCAATATCAAAATTATATGTCATAAATTTTACTCAGAACATTAATTTTGAGTTTTCAGGTTCTTCAAACTGACATCTAAATTCAGTTTTAACATTGTATTCAAACTTAATGAGGTATACAATTCATATTCGCTGTAATATATAGACACTAAAGCCAAAATAAACAGAATTTGTTTATTTTATTGTGAAATCTTCGACAAAAAGAGATGCTTTTTGGGGGTATAATTTACCTTTGTCTGCTCTGTAGTTCCATGGTATCACTGGTCTGGAGTTCTCTGAATAATAAGAATGAAAGGAAAACAAAATATTGTGATTTAATGTTATCGTGATAAAGTTTATTCATCGGGAAAATATTGGGAGTGATATTCCATTGACTAGAAAAGTTGTTTCGTTTACGAAGTGTGATTTTCAAAAGGAATAACTAAAAACGTTTATACATGATCTAAATCATTTGGTAAATCATTTGATACGTAATACCATCAAAACCCTAATAATACCCTAAAACTACTACTTATTTCATTGATTTGGGCAGTGGCGGATCCAGGGGTGGGGACCCGGGGGCCCGGGCCCCCCCCCCCCCCCCCTTGAGAAAAAATCATGCAAAATCACGCGATTTTTACCTTTTTGGGGGGTTGGGCCCCCCCCCCCCCTCCATGGCGCTCAAGGGGGGGTGCAAATTTTAAAATTTTCGAGGACCAAAAAAAAATTGTGCTCACTACCCCCCCCCCCCCCCCCCCCCCCCACTGAGCGACTTTTCGGCTGGCTGAGTCGTTGCGATTTTTTTGGGACTCCAAAAAACAAACACCCCCCCCCCCCCCCCCCCCCCCCCCCCCCCCCCCCCCCCCCCCCCCCCCCCCCCCCCACTGAGCGACTTTTCGGCCGGCGCGATTTTCAAATTTTCGGGAGCAAAACAAAAAAAAGTTGGGCCTCCTCCCCTAAGAAATCCTGGATCCGCGCCTGGATTTGGGAAACCTGCAATCGAAATAGTAGGTACCGTGGTTCTGCCCAATGTTCTACATGGTAAGCCACTGCAAAAACATTTGGGTTACCCACATAATAAATGTTAATCTGCCTCTAATGTGCTTCTAACCGCAACAAGGATTTTATGAAGAACTTCCCGAAATATTTCCTCCAAAACCTTCGCGTGTTCGAGATATACTTCCTCAGAAGAAAAAACAAAGAACTTGTATTTTCGCTTCCGAAAATCATTGAAAGCAAATACATGTAGCTGAAGAGTATTCCTTTTCTCCAAAAAATGTGTCCAATGAAATTAAATATTTTAAGAACAATGCTTTTCTCGAAAAGAATATAATGTGTCCGAGATTTACTACATTGTTCTAATCCTGGCTTGAAAGAAAATATTTTAAGAATAGAATTTCCCCCCTAAAACAATATGTGTCCGAGATGCACTTCTTGGGTGATAAAAGAGCATTGTCCTAGATTGTTATCTATTCATATTTTTAAATCCATTAAATCCCTTTGAGTGAACTCCTTTCCCCTACGAAGTGAAATGTGCCCCCTTTCGTTGATCCCGACCCTGATAATAATCTCTATCAGTTGTTTCCGGTTCGGCTTGAATCTGCTTCTTGGCTGACCGCTGCATGAGTAGCCTGCGTTTAAAATACCGAAGGAGAAAAACAAACATTGTTATCATGCGTTCCATTTCTACAAGTCAGAAATTATTGAATATAGGAAAAATATTGTACGGTATAATGTTTAATCCTTTCTTGGTTCTAATTGTGTTAGTAAAAAAAAGCAATCTTGATTGAGTTTTTGATATACAATGTAGGCTATATAGGAGGGGGGGGGGGCAAGTGAACGTATAACACGGGCGAATTCAGTACTCTATACTAAAAATAAAAACAACGACAAAAAGGGGGTAAAGTTCAAAGAAACTATGACTGATTATAGCAAAAAGATCTTGTAAGTGCAGGGTGCAAACTTGAAAGATGGGCTCAAAAAGTGAAACAATTTGGGGCACTTTTTTCTTGTGTACTTAAGGCATGTCACATTGGGATGTAAAAGGAGTAGAGGTCGGATGCATGTGCCCCTACCCTAGCCCCCTTCTAAAAAAATAAAAAATAATCCGCCCCTGGATATACAGATAAGTGTGATTTATATTCCTACTATAAAATGTTGATTCAAATCATTCATATTTTCTAGTATCGAGGAGATTTCATGTTCTTGATGTGGTATTTAAGAAAAGTCTAAAACACTTGAATTTTTGCTTTTAAATATATTCTGTTTTAAGGCTACACATGGCTCTCCATAATGTTTAAGTCAAACTTTTAGGATCTCTGTGAAACACCCCCTGGTCAGGCCTCTAAGATTAGCGGAGCATGATGTTTACTATGATCGGACTATGATACACGACTTCTTTTCTAATCGTTAAAAGGCGAAACCAATAATCCTGATAAACAGGCCTATGTGATTTTTTTTTTTTCATTTTTTTTCTTCTTTTCGCTGTTATTGTTGCCTTGTTTTTTATGACAATTTTTTTTTTTACCGTTGCTGTTGATGTTCATGAAGTCATTGTTGTTACATAAGGTATACTCTTGTTTGCCATTCCGTTTCCAGTTTTCACGCATTACTGCCATATCTAATTAAGATTTCAAAATATCACACAGCACCGTGCATGGATCTATCCGTGTTAAAACAGTTTATGTGTTAATTGCATAATTAGCCCATTTATATTTTTAATGGCCAGCTGTCAACAAAACACTGCTGTCAATTATATTTTATGATATTTTCCGGCCAGCCGCGCCTCATGAGTTGTGATTTAAGATATTTTGTCATTGTTTTTCTTGTTTGATTAGTTTTAACAGCGTTTATCAATCAATTTAAGTTTTTAAGCCAATTTGATTAGCGTGACCTCATTAGATCAATGCATGTTGTGCAACAATGCACACGCTTTAGGATATTTTTTTTTCAGAAACTGGCCAGTTCACCAATATCTTCTATTTCTGGATTGAAACTTCAATGAACCCCTTGCATCGGCATCTGTCTCAAGTTTAATCCCCCTTTGCATAGTTTGCTGTTGCACGTCAAAAATATTTGTTAAAGTTTGTTATCATAACAAAGTTTAAATGTTACTTAATGACCCAGCTGATATTGATATAAAATAATAGTCCCAAAGTTTTGCCTCCTCGCTTCGCTCGCTCGCAAGTAACCCATCATGATTAACTTTAACTATATGCTATCTCGTCTAATTTGAAGAAGCAGAACAACGAAAAAGAAACGATATTAGGCCAAATAATTAGATCAAACTTAATGAGAAACAAAAAATAAAGCGTTTTTTGTTGTTGTAATGCTGCAACACTCCTGGACAGGCCATTGATAATTATGTTTGAGTCAATACACAATGGCCTACAACCAAATTTCAGAAATAGTTCTGACCTGCCCATCGTGAATGTATGGAGAACCCTTGTATGACCGTGCATTATCTTAAAGTGACTAGGTAACATTGTTGAAGGTTGATGAAAAAAACTGTATAATTTGTGTATAAAATGTTACTTATTATATTCCTTCTACTGTAACCCTCTAGCGTGCTATAAATCCTGAACAAATTCTCAAACCACAAAGATATTTATGGTTTTCTTTTAAAGGCGTCCCTATAGTCAACACCTTCTAACAATAAATTCTCTCCACCATTTTTGAATTTTCCCCAACCGTTTTTCCATGAAAATAAGACATAAGAGAGGCTTTTAAAAATCTATCAACACTTATACATCTGGAATGGTATATAGAGCCAATTAGAAGCTTTGGGACGATTTACATTCACCTAAAATGTAATTTAATTGTAATAATAGTTGGGAGAATTAAGGAATCGATCAGATAAGTTTTTCCCATTTGTTATCGTTACTAATGGTCTGTCTTCACTCAAACTTTCAGATTATCTTTAATTTTACATCTAGCATTGAAGTCACTACCTTAGCACCATTTACTCTCATCTGAACAATGTTACCTAGTCCCTTTAAGATGGCCCCATCTGGATTACTTTCACCCTTCCTCCGTGTTACATTTTACTTCGATCATGCCAGAGTTGAAAGGGGTACATTCTCTATGCAGCATTGTTGAAGCCTGTATTCGTCATCACTTCTACTGTATGTTTCATATCAATTGTCAGAGGTTGATATTTGGAACAGAGCTCGCGAGACCTTGGTTTTAGATCGCTTCATTGTAAGATCTTCAACAATGCTGGCAAGGGCATAGCGATTGTGATCCGATTGCCGCGTGAGTCGTGAATGAGGTACATTGCAAAGAGATAATCCGTGATAATCTCAAATAATTACTGATTAATAAAATCATACACAGTACAACTGATCCTGTATAAGCTTTACATTGTTCGCAGCTTAAGGAGCTTCATAGAATTGTTTCTAGATTAAATTAATATTTTTGTCATAAGCTAAGCTACTCGACAAATGCATTTAAATGATTATTTAAACTTGCACTGCATATAGAAAAGATATGATACTACTACTACTACTACCTATTACTACTACTAATACTATTACTACCAATTATGATAATAATGATAATGATAATACATCAAATAAAAAAGACCACATTGATTGGTTTATAGTAAACCTTGTATCAATAATCGTTACAAAAACAGTAAGGGGTAGCGGTTTCATTAAATTCAAAATAAAAGAATATAAATTAATTGCTTCTTTATGCTCGTTTTGCCTCAATTTATAGCAAGTAGATGTCGTGAAAGTAAACTCATCAATTTTGACGGAAACTGATGAATTAATAAGTTTAGATCTACATTGCGCTAAAAAGAACATGGGACAGTAACATGTAATGTGTTGTGCACATTTGTCATAGATTACTTCATTCCTCCGTTCGTGCAATGACGAATTAATGGCTAATTAACTCTAGAAAACATTATTACGTGCGTAGATGGAGCTAAACCATCCAAAAGAACCAAGTCTTAGAAGTGATTCGTAGAAGCACTAGCACAGTGCTTACTCACAACATTTAAAATGTTGTCGGTTGCTGTTTTTGTTTTCACCTTTAACAATTTTTCGAATCAAGTTATTTTTTTCTACTTTAAAAATACATTACAAATATCGCAGACAAATCTTTCAATGAATATTAGCACGGGGTCGTAAATTTTTTAACTTATCAATTATCTTTCGATAAAATAATGTGGATGATTAAACTTTCTCACCTTCGTCGCTGTCATCGTCTAGGTTATTTCCCGCAAGGAGACGAGGCAAAGCCGTGATGTCCTGCGATTCGAGTAGGACCACCATCAGGATAAATGTGTACTTCAATGTCGTTAACATTCTTCTGTACACTCTCTTTTACGCGCCAACAAAACGGGAATACGAGCAGACGACAGCATCAATGTACCGATCAATCAATATCGGAACACCGATCAAAGGTTAACGAAATGAGTCAAAGCAAATCCTGCATAAGCCTCTTAAAGCTGTTGCATTTAGAGGTTAAGTTATTCAAAGTGCTCACGTGAGGTGAATCACGCAAGTTTGAAAATAAGATGATTATCTTAAACGTCTAATTGCTATTTTCGATGAATTTTTAATGATTATTTCTTAATCGACGGATTATGGTTCTTCAACTTGAGAAACATGTAGTTAATCGCGAAAGATGTCGATGAATATTGATCAAACATAGTATATCCACTGGCACAACACAAAGAAAGACAGTCAACAGCTTCTGTTGTCGTCCAGGGTATGACTAACAATAACAGGTTTTGATATCAAACGTTGAAAAGAAACATAGCTGATCTGATCTGAGTCCGAACAACAAAAACAACATCCGCAAGATTGACACTTTTTATAATCATAACTATGTGACACTAGTAGTAGCGATAGCTAAAACACTGTTTAAGCAAGTACAGCGGTGTAAGTTTGTGCCTTGTATAGCGCGCAAAACGTTTTTGCCGCCTTCGGAATGGAACAATGTGAAAAAAAACGTCATTGAGAATCGGATGCGCTCGCGACAGCTGCATCTTCGATATTAGCCGAACGAAAAAAGTCATGACGTCAGAGACTGTTCGGGATCAAAAGAAACTTTTAAATTGTTTGCAAACTTCATGAGAATATCATGATTCCGATGTTGAAACCTTGATGAATGTGTTTAATAGGAGACAAGAAAGGGAGCTGGGAAATGAATAAGAAATGAGAGAGAGAGAGAGAGAGAGAGAGAGAGGGAGAGAGAGGGGAGTAAGAATAAATGAGAGAGAGAGAGAGGGGGGGGGGAGGGTAAATAACAATCAAAAAGCTGTAAAATGAGTGAGAAAGATCAAAGAAACCAAAAGAGGAGAAAAAGAGAGGGAAAAGAGATATATCTTTAAGATAAGTGCATCCTAAATTTTGATCAAATTACCACTGGCAACAGACTGAGGCCTTGCTTTTGAGTTGATCCAAAGTTCAAATAGCAATATTCAACGTTCTGAAATTTACCGTTGTACTCTGTTATATATTTTCATTAATAATACTTATTTGTTATTTCAACACACTGCAGGTATCACGTTTGTTCCTAGATCGGCATACCTTGAGTACGCGAAATAAAGAATTGCCCCTTGAATGTGTATTTTTCCCCCAAATTGTACCCCTTTTAAAACCTAGATCCGCCCCTTGGTTCCCGAATAGGCTTTTGACTGACACAATGTAAGATGTCCCGATCTTGGATTTATTGGCACTCATCGTCTTCAATGGCAGGCTTTACTCACTCTGATTCATCGGAATAAGGAGGGGGAAAATCGGGATGAGGATTTGAGGGTCGGGCTTATGATTTTCCTGAAGATTTCCCTGAAAGTGCTTACAAACAATGGAGATCAGCTCATAAGTAACTACGCTTTGTGGATGGTTTAGGACTGGTGTCCTCGCCCTCTCTGAAACTTGAACCCTGTACCCGCCCAATAGTACATTTTACTTAGAATGCTTCTACGGTAGAGAGAGAGGGGGGGGGGGGGGGGGAGGGGGGCAAGGATACAATCTCCAATTCTTATATTATCTTGATCTCTTGATCTCTTTCTCTAACTCTATCTCTCACTCACACGCACACACACACGCATACACATACTCTCCCTCTCCCTCTCCCTCTCTCTCTCACTCACATGCGCACGCACGCACACACACAAACACACCCGAACACAAGTCATACTCCCTCTCTCTCTCTCTCTCACTTAACACACACGCACATAAACACACAAACACACACACTCTCTCACTCACACATACCAACACATACTCTCTCTCCCTCTCTCTCTGTCACTTTCCTCTCTTTCTCTCTCTCTCTTTCACTTTCTCTCCCCCCCCCCCCCCCCCTCCCTCTCTCTCTCTCTCTCCCTCTCTCTCTCTCTCGCTCTCTCTCTCTCTCTCTCTCTCTCACTCTCTCTCTCTCTCTCACACACACACACTCTCTCTCTCTCTATCTCTCACTCTCTCTCTCTCTCTCTCTCTCTCTCTCTCTCTCTCTCATGATCACACGTTCAGATGAAGCTCCTGATCAGTCAGTGAGATAATGCATAGGAAACTATCAACGTATGAATGACTTCCGATGAGTTAAGCAGTATCTTCTTGGCATGCGGACACAAATAAGCCATGCAGTGGGGGTCGGGGGAGGAGGGGTCGGGCGGCGAATATCAACTTCCAACATTTCTTTTGTTACACTCATTAATTTGTAGCGAAAATGTAGTTTGAAACTATGTAACAGATATATTACAAATAGTCCATCAGGCTGACCGAAGGTTAGGCGACGATTGTCGAACAATGGTAATGTAGAATTTTCGGGGGGGGGGGGCTTTAGCTCAAAGGTATAGCAGGTTAGCCCTGGAGGTTAGCTTTATATTTGAGGCATACAGAAACAAAATGAATATTTTAATTCACATCTATTACAGTCTGTATTTCGATAGGTCAACTTTATTAACGTAGTTTTCCCCAACTCTTTCTAGAACTCGGTATGCTCTTGGAGGGTAGACACACATGTACAAGAAACAAAGTTGATTAAAGAAAAACGACTTCTGGAGAGTTTAAATCATTTCGTTGTAATTTAAAGATGATTTGGCATGGCTAAATTTTTATCAATCTCATCAATAAAGTATAATGTCACTGAAATCTTGTGAAAATTTTTATTACACATGGTTGAACCTTCCATAACCTTTCATTCTGTTACGATCATATCACCGAGAGAGAGAGAGAGAGAGAGAGAGAGAGAGAGAAAGAGAGAGAGAGAGAGAGAATCAGAGAGAAAGAGAGAGACAGAGAGAAAAAGAAAGAAAGAGATGAGAAAAATATCTCGGTGTAAAATTAAACCTTTGGATCGATGGTAGATGTTTTGATATGACACTACTCTGTGGTCAAAGGGGCGTGCTACTTTATACCTGTATCTTTGTTATCAGACCCTCATTAGTACTGTTCACTAAGCCGTGTGAAAACCTCTTAATCCACCATTCATCTCGATAAGAAAATAGGTTTTAATAATCCTTCATGTAATATTAATTCACTGAAAAGCGATTACATCTTCATAAAGATTGACAGATAGCTTAGACACGTATTCAATTCTTAAAGTAACTGTGCATGAACTTCGTTATGACGTCAATGAAGTCATATCAACGCACTTAAGATTTCCACCCCATTGCGCATGCTCGCCATCACGATTTACAGTCAATAGTGTTGGGAGTTGCGATTGCGTGAATGACCTCGTGCGGGGTCATCATCAGCCACTAGGTGACGAGACGTGGGTTGAACACAGCCAACATTCATGATTCCTCGAGCTAATAGTGGTGGAAGTTGTGACGTCATGCCCGGTGAGTTCCGGTTGCAAGACTTGGTGCGTGTTCTCGTAGGATACGCGCATTCCGCGTTCGCGCACGCACCTGTTGCAAACTCGAAGACGCGCATCGAAGCGTTGGAAAATCCGTGCAACATATAGTCGGTCGGCGAATGCGTCCTCAGCGCTGCCGCCCTCTTTCGGCATTCTTGGGGGATGTTGCGTATTCTGGTATTCGCTTGAAGTTGTGGATTGGTTTGTGGTTCGTGTTTCGGAGCCGGAGGCGGGAGGGTTTTCATAAACTTTTCTTCCTCATCTGTTGATGACGATGATTGTTCTCGACCTCTACGAGTACAGCTTCGCTCAGTCTTTTTCCGCTCACGAGATCTTTTCCTTTTCACCTTTTAGGCGATGGAAATTAAAAAGAGAATAGGGGAAATCAAATGAGCATACGTTATGATAGAGGGTTGACCCTAAACCGAACCTCTTCAATATTTATACTACTTCTACACTACTCTTCTCCTACCACTACTTCTTCTACTAGTACCTTTAATACTTCTTTTAGAGTCCTTTTTTTGTTTTGGTCCAAAAAAATCAGCCAGCCGCTGAATAGGCGGGGGGGGGGGGGGCCTGGATTTTTTTTTTTCATTTTTTCTTTCAAAAATCACACACATAAAAATTATTGAGGGGGAGTTCAACCCCCAAACACCCCCGCCGCGTAGGCGTCTGCTACAACTACTACTACTACTACTACTCCTACTACTATATGACAATTACTACGTACCAATACGTTTGATATTTTAACACGAATTTGTGCACCGAATACGCAAATTCCTTTTATTCCAAATGTTCAAGTGGAAGATGTCGGAACATAACTATGGTGATATTTAATGAATATGCATCCTTTAGTTGATATTAAGATTTTTTTTTTTAAATATACGGGAAGTATTGGACTATTATAGTAGTAGTAGTTGAATGTATTATTAGTTGATTTATCGAAAGGCCGCTTACGTCGTGATCGCTAGGCGACGATTCCTGTTCGTCGTCCCCTTCGACGTTATTATCATAGACCCTAATTATTGCGTCATCGTCGACGAGAAAAGGATTCTTGTGATGTCGTAAAACCGACCGGCGCTGGTCACTCGGGGACTGGACAAAAATATGATAAGAATAAAGAGTAAAGGAAACAAAGAGGTTATGAAGAATGAATCATTTCGAAATGAACTTTCGTATTTTTCAATATCGAACACGATTGCATTGCAAAGACTTTCGAAAAATAAAGTTAAGGCAGCTTCAATAGCCCATTATTTAATCCGAACATGATTAATTAGTTAACCCCCACCCCTGAAAATAACCCCCTATGACACCCCCCCCCCCCCAGGACAACCAAAGACAACAACGCCCGAGGAAAATTATCCATCCCCCCCCCCCCGAAAATTACCCCCTGTTCATTAAAGGGGCAGTCCACCCTGATAATAAGTTGGTTTAATCAAATAAAAAATGGGGGGGGGGGGGGTAACTGTTCTCGGGTGGTGATAATTTTCCGGGGGTTTATTGTTTTCGGGGGTAATATCCCGGGGGTAATTGTCCTCGGGGGGGGGGGTGTCCTCGGGGTTAATTGTCCTAGAACCCAATTCATCTCGTCTTTAAAATGATAAGAAAGCGCAGTGCTTTAGCCGCGTCAAAAGGTCAAAAGCCTAATGATTAATCATACGATAATAAATTTTGATTGTAGATATTTTGATTTGTATACATTTTTCCTTCAATCGCTAATTTTCTTTGTTTTATTTAAAATATAATTTTACCTTCTTGTTCCTCTTCTTCTTTTTGCGCTTCTTTGCCTTGTCCGGCTGCTCGGTAGAGGGCGGAGTTTCTGTTTGAATTCCTAACGCATCGCTTTTCCAATCACTCGCCTGATCGATGAAATGTTCGTCGACAAATTCGTTGAGGAGTTCTCTAGCTGTGATCGGAGCTGAGCCCGGGGCATCGTTTTTCACTGCAGTACCTACAAATATTATTGATTAATCATGATTATATGCAATACACAAAAATGTAATGGTCTTTGTCAACGAGTCCTAGTTTTTTTTTTTAATCGTTCATTAAAGGAAACCGAACCCCAAGTAATAACTTTACTTATTCTGAGAGATTTATTATAT